GAAGCAATTTCATTATATCTATCCCAAATGTGTATTACAAGTATTTCTGTTTTTCAGCGAGGCCATGGAAGTGGTGGTTCAGAAATATTAACTCATAAGCAGCCTAAACAATATAAAATGGCAATTGCCTTTACTTTGGCTCATCCATATGGTCTACCTAGACTGATGTCAAGCTTTGGTTTTAGCAATAGTGACCAAGGTCCTCCACAAGATCAATCTGGAAATATCGTGTCACCGCAGTTTGATGCAAATGCAAGTATTATGATAAAACGACCAATAATATTATTAATCTGCAAAATAAAAAATATATCCTGCATTGCAGCTTGATCTAGTATGTTATTCACATATAGTACATAATTTGCTGACCAACTTTTGAACGAACTCCAATAGTTAAAAAATCTTAGACATAACGATTCAGAACCTAGTAATATATTTATTAGCTTTTGAAGAACTAATAAACTAAATTAAAATAAACGTAATTTAAATATTTTGTCAATTTTCTCTCAAATCGAAATTTGAAGGCATTTGACATAATATTGCTTCTTTATTCTACTATATCACGAGTAAAAATTAATTTTCAAATTATAATATTATAATATTTTTAGACTGGTGCCTGTACCAACGGATGGATATGTGAGCATAGATGGAGACAAATTTACTCAATGGTGGCTTTTAGAAATGTGGTCCAAATAATAAAATTCAATATGGTGGGATAATGGTTCAAACCAGATTGCATTTACACGCGGTTGTGCTGGTCTAGTAGTTTTCAATAATGAAAATCAACAGAATTTGCAACAAACCCTTCAGGTAATTTTTACTCAAATATACATATTTGACAGAAACTGTTGTTATATTTTGCTATTCTTAATTAAATTTAAATTTGTACTATTTTTTTTATTTTTCCAATGGGAATATCGGCGGAATTTCCTATTAATTGTTAAATATATCTTGTATATGAACAAATGGACTATTTTTCATTATGAGTGACATAAATAATTTAAAAATATTTTAAATATTGGTAATTTATCCTAACAGTATATATATATATATATATTGTAGTTTTAAAAGTCTTAACTGCGTTTTCCAATTTTTAACCAAAGATAACATTGCAGATATATTTAACAATTAATAGGAAAATCCCCCAATGTTCCCATTAAAATATTTTTTCAAAATAATTAGTACAAATTTAAATTTAAACAAACATTTTTTTCAAACATCAATCGTGTTCGATAACCAGAACATTACTTCTAAAGACTTTGCAAAATAATTGTTGACGAGTAAATAAAAGATAACACGTTTTAATTGTGGAAAATATTGAAAAAAGTGGTAGATAGAGAAAATATTTTTTATACTATTATTTGCATTTAATTGTTGTATTGGTTTATTAAATAATTAATTGATAATAATTCTAGACTTGTTTGCCTGCCGGAAGATATTGCGATGTAATATCTGGAAAAGCGGAAAATGGCAGGTGTTCTGGTAAAACTGTAGAAGTATCACCTGATGGAAAAGCTTATGTCGAGATTTTACATTCGGAAGACGATGGGGTTCTAGCTATACATATAGGAAAACAGGTAAATTTCAATTTCAGATATTTTATTTTTTTAGCGCGAATATAGTAATTCAAAACAACTTATCTTTTTAATCAAAGAGCAGATATGATAAAATAATCATAATTAATTATAATCATAATAATTAGATACTTCTAACATTATTGACTTAATCTACTCGTTAGTAAAATTTTAAGTAGACGATAAACGTACGGTTATTGGATATTGAAATTAAATTTTGATTTTGTTTTTTTTTTGTAATTTTTAATGCTCTTAGTAGACGCAATTATTTAATAATCACTAATCTTTGTTAATTATTTAGCAACGTTATATTTAATAGTACAAGTCATATAACCACACAGATGAATGATTTCTTAATACCTTCGTAATTTCTTAAAAAACCTATATGTTCTAAATGAAGATTGTTTCTATATAAAATGATTCATAAAAACTTTCTGGTATACAAATTAAATATTAATTTAGTACGATACTTTGCATAAATTTAAGCAAACAAATGTATAATATACGCTTATATATAACAAAAATAATATACTATATTTTATATTAATTATTACTAAATTATAATTAACAATACTTAACTAATTCTAAATATTGCAATATTTCAGTCTCTTCTCAGCCTAAAGTCCAAAATGTAGTCGAGTTTGAAAAAGAGGACTTAATCAATAAAAATGATTTGATGATTTTGATGAAAAGTCAAGTCAATGACATTGGTTATCATGTGGTTAGTAATATTGTATGGTTGTGGTCAATAAAGAATATTTTTCTCATTAGATTTTTAATACGTGGTATATTTCATTTGACTTATTCACGATTTGCGCAAACGGAATGTATGCAATCTTTACTATCTTCATTTAAACTCGACTTCAATTAAAAACAGTAATCTTAGTTATGGATATACATCATGTAGTTCATAAGTTATCATATAAGTAATAGCAGTTCATTCAAAATTGTAGAATCTGCAAGAATTCTAGCTCCAACAATAGTAACTAATAAAACTTGAATTAAAAATAAAAGTTAAAAATCTCGTAGTCAAATCTCTGGAGCAAGATATCTACTATAAATGCTTCATCTAATGAATGAAATAATACATATTTCATATTAAATTTGGGTAGGGGAGACTTGGTATAGTTGTGCCAGGGTATTAACAGTCACCATAAGAGCTAAAATACTGATTTTGACATAGGGTCCAAAGAGAGATAGATGAAGTATGTTTGTTCGAGCAAGTTTCCATTATTGCATTGAGTCAGCGCTCTAAATTAACAAGATCTATAGACTAGATTTTTTTTAAAGGGCCAAAAAAAGTTTTTGTTGAATAATAATTTAATAATTCTTGTATAGGGATAAATCACTTGTTTGTTATTTTTCTGTAAATTAAACATCAGTAGATAATTACCAGCAATTTAGCATAGTTATAACGATGATTTGTTTCTAAAAGGTTTTAAAAGGTACGTTGTGCTTTTCGAATGAAGATTAAACAGATAAGGAAAAATCTAACCTAATTAATTGTAAGACAAGATATGAAAAACAAAGGGAAAGCAAAATTCAATACAAGAAAAAAAATGACTGCTCAAAGAAAAGTGGCACAACCGTATCCAGTCTTACCCCAGTCATGAAGTACAATACATTTTGGCAAAAAATGACTAAACTTATACAACTAAAATTGTTGCAATTTAAGCTATAATACTGTAATCATAAAAAATATTTTTTGAAAAATGTATAAATTTTTTTTACAAAATATGATAAGTCAACAAATTAAAAAATAGTCTTAAAATTGCTTAAAAATATAGTTATTTCTTATCACAGATAAAACTAGATAGGTGGGTAGTAGTTAAATATATATATATATATATATATATATATATATATATATTATATATATATCATGATATAGGATTAGGAATTAGTTTCCAAGGGATGAAAGTTACATTAGGATGATTTGCTAGCCAAATTCTCGTGCATTTACTTCCGCAAAACATTGCACTACATAATAAGTATGAATCGCCGAATAATCTTTTGACGGGCCTAAAATAAAAATATATTATTTTTTTCGACCACATTACATACATCTTTCCTTATTCTAATCAAAAACAATAAGAGAGAGGTGTGCAGTGAATAAATAATAATCCGGAATTATTTGAAAGTATTTATAGTATAAATTATTTATTTATATAATAAATTTTCTCCACAGTAGTCTATGATATTTGGCATCAATATGTGCAAATCATCATGTGCATACGTCTTAAAACTCGATTATTTTTTAAGTAATATTTTTTAAGTCTTAAGTATACTTGAGAAAACCAAAAAGTATTTACAGATACATTGTTTTGTTTATTAAATTTGTTCAGATAACAAGCTCCAATTCTTATAAAACCCCCTATGATTATGTAGTTAAATTAAATATGTCTTGTTTCATTCTTTACATAGGGTAGAACAAGGCACAAAGTCTAATTTGACTTTGAGCAATTATATTGTGAAAACCAAACCAATTGTATTATAACAAATAACACAAATCAAACAAACAACTATCTGACTGTTCAGAGGTTCAGCAAAAAATCTTAACAAATTCATCATTGCAAAAATGTGTTTTTCCTGTTTTTCAAAAATTTGTCACCTGATATTTTTCACCCCATAGGCAGAGTAAAATAGGATGGCCAGGGGCAGCCGGTCCATATTTAATTTATAATCTAAAAGAATTTTACGAAATAATAGCTACATTATTCAAGCAATCCAAATAATATAAATTTCATTGGTTAATTTTTTACAGACTTAGATCTAGTATTTCATCAGAAATGTTCATCAGCAGAGTTGGAATAATTATCTAAATAGTTTCTCTTATAAAATTGCTTTTTTATTTACTATTTTTTATAGTTTACACCTTTTCCAGGATAAAGAATTAGTTGGTCCTTTTTATTCCTGCGCTCATGATTAAGCTCTTATATAGTGGTTTATAAAATCTAACAACCGAAGAATTTACTCTTGCTAAGGATTTCCAAGCATTACCGTTATATCTCCTGATAGCAACGTCGTATGAATCAATGTCATGACAGATTATACATCTTTTGCCCTCTACTTTCAAATATTGTTGTTAAAAATTCTCATTTCACATGTTTTTGAAAAATCGGTGGTAGACCTATTTACCTGCGGACCTTTAAGCCCCGCTCTACCCTATAAAATTTGGCATATATTCAAAATTTAATGAACTTGTCAGTACTTTAAAACGGTCATTTGCTTATCCCTAAAGTTACTCACTTGCAAGCACCTCCCTCCTATGTTAAAATTTCTCATTATCATACCTGTTTAAAAAGCAGAGCACTCCATACTCAAACAATCCAATTTTGCAGTTGTGGCAAACGGCATTCGGCCCTTCTTTTAACTGAGAACTCAGATGGAGAGGTAGTTCCTCAACATGCATTACTTCATGAGTCATTTTTATAAACTTTTTCCGTTCACATAATAATGACCCTCCCCATCATAATCACTATCATAAAATTCATTATAATCTTCATCATCACAGTTTTCATTCTCATCCAGAAAGAAAGAGGTTTTGCTCAAAATAGCATGTGTTTTCCGCAAGGCCAATTCGAACAATGTTGGCATTTTTGGAGCAAAATATTGTGAAACATGTTTGATACCCGAATATAAATAAACATCGATTTCTGGTAAATTTTCAGTATTGACTACTTTTACATGGATTTGTCCTGGATGGAAAAATTCTGTCGAATCGTATGTCCTGAAATCAATTTGAAAATGCATCAGATTGACGTACCAGTGAAGGTAATACAAATATAATTGATTATATATTTCCAATTACCAAAATCGTGTGCTGATATGTGGATTGATATCAAATAGAGGTTCAAGAGTCAAGGGTACATGTTTCAGGGCAGGGTTCAGCTTGAAAATAATATTAGGCAGAGGATCAGCGGCCAATGGTAATGCTGGTAAGCAGCGCAAATCACAACCTGTTAATGTCCAAATTAATTAATTATTTCTCATATATACTAGTTGCACTAACTTCATATTTATGCACTTTCCAAAAAATTCACTATCAAATTCTTATAGATAACATTTAACATATTGTCTATTACTTAAATAGTTATAATGATAGTCATCACAAACCTAATAAAAACCTGGAGTTTAATAAACTCAATAAGTAATATG